CAAGATCTTAGTTCGAGAGGTTTAGGAGTTGAAGACTCTGTCTTGTTATTTAATTTTGTGTTAAATGTAAATCCAAGCCGAGGGCTTTTTGTGTATAGAGTTAGAACTCTTATTTTGTTGGTAACTTGGAAAGATGTAAGCCCGTAGGGTATTTATTTTGTTGTTAACATGTATTATCTTTTGTAAAGAAGACTCTGATAAATGAAATGTAACTTTTCTATTATGTTTACGGATCTTATGCATGACTGTTATATGTCTTATTTTGAGGGCGTTACACATAAAGTGAATCTTATGATCAATATCTCATACTCATTTTTTTGATTTTCGTAATTTTAAACAATTAAGAAAATCCTCATTGGTTAACTTCCATTTAACTTTTATTTTACAATCCCATATAGTTTTGATTTTAAAAATAATTTTATATGAAATTTTGAAACTCTCATAATATTTAATTTTAAAATAATTATAATCCCACAACGAAAAAAGAAAGAAAAAGTAAGTTGTATCACTTATAAAAAAATGTTACAATCCCACATCGGGAAAAGAAAGAAAAAGTGGGTTGTTTTACTTATATAAAATGAATCTTATAAAAGGAGTTTTAAGGGAGAAACCTTCTAGAAACTCCAAACCTTCATTATAAAATTATTGAATTTTCTTAATTTTAAACAATTAAGAAAATTCTCATTGGTTGGATTCCATTTACCTTTTTTTTACAATCTCAAATCGAGAAAAAAAGAGGAAAAAGCGAATTATTTTATTTACATAAAGTGAATCTTATACTCCAATTTATATAAATTATTGAAATTTCTTAATTTAAATAATTAAGAAAATTTACATTGGTTAATTTCTATTTAACTTTTATTTTATAATCCCATATCGGGAAAATAAGAAAAAAAAATGAATTGTTTCATTTATGTAAAGTTAATTTTATACTCTCATTTATATAGCAAAAGAAGGTTTTTAGTAAGAAGCCCTATAATCAATATCATTTTTTTTTTATTTTCTTAATTTTAAACAATTAAGAAAATCTATATTGGTTGGCTTCCATTCAACTTTTATTTTGCGATCCACATAGACGTTTTGATTTTAAAAATAATTTTGTTTTGAAACTCTCATAATATTTAACTTAAAAATAATTACAATCCCACATCAAGAAAAGAAATAAAAAGTGAGTTGTTTCACTTATATAAATTGGATCTTATACTCTTATTTAATATTATAGTATTGTGCATGTTTCAGTTCAAGATGGTTTAAATTTTAAAATAAAATTTAAAGGTTTTAATTGATTAATTTTGTTGTAAAGTGGTTAGTCTTTTGATTTAGCCACAATTTTAACTATTTTATCAAAATATATTGCTTAGATTTGTTTGATTTGAAATAAATTAAGATTGGCCTTATTAAAAATTGAACGACTGAGATTACTTGATTAGAAATGAATTTCTTGTTTAAACAACTATTTTACAATCCCACATCAAGAAAATGAGGAAAAAACGAATTGTTTTATTATAAAAACCTTATGGTCCCATTTAATATTGTAGTGTTGTGTATGTTTCATTTCAAGATAGCTTAAATTTTAAAATTAAAATAAAATTTAAAAGTTTTAATTAATTAATTTTTGTTTAAGTTGGTTGGTCCTTTGACCTAGTCAATAGGGTGAACAATATTCGGTTTGATTGATTCGCTGGTTTAAATGCGATTTTAACGATTTTTTCAAAATATATTGGTTAAATTTATTTGATTCAAAATAAATTAAAGATTGACCTAATTAAAGATTAAACGACTAAGATTGCTTGATTCGAAATAAACTTCCCGCCCAAACAATTGTTAACTTTTAAGCAATTACGAAAATCCCTATTAGCTAGCTTTTATTTAATTTTTATTTTATAATTTTACATCGAGAAAAGAAAGAAAAAGTGAATTGTTTCACTTAAATAAAGTCAATGTTATACTCTCATTTATATAAGTAAAATGATATTTTTACTGAGAAGTCTTATGATCAATATCTCATGCTAATTTTTTTGACTTTCTTAATTTTAAACAATTAAGAAAATCCCGACTAACTAGCTTCCATTTAATTTTTATTTTAAAAAATATAAAAAATTAAATATAATTATCATATTTTTATTAAATAATATATTATTTTATCGAGTGATATGCTAGTTATTATGATTTGAATGTAACATTTTGGGATTGTTTGGAAAATGCTAAATTAGTATACTTTTTGACTTTTTACGAAAAAACATAAAATATGGGTTGGATTTGAAATGTTGTGGTAGAGAGGTGACGTGACTCAAATAAAATAATTATGATTCAAATAGAATAATGTAATACATGCCAAACAAAAACTTTATCTTATTGAATTAAAAAGTTCATTTTATCTTTTTTTTAATATTTGGATATATTACACTCACATCCCTTGAGGTTTATGTTTATTACAGTTCCCCCATCACCTTTTGGAAATTACATCTCCCCCTGAAGTTTAAAGTTTCGTTACAGATTCTCCCTTTCAGTAATTTAATTTTTTTAAATATCAATTTTGCCCTCACTGGGTAAATCACATTGACACCTTTCACATTTTAGAAATTACAATCCACTCCCTAAGGTTTAAAGTAGCTTTACCAATTGCCCCATCGGTTAGTATTAGTTGGAAAAAAAATTCATTGAAAAAAAAAAAATAAATTGAAAAAAAATTTGTTAGTAAAATTTTAAATTTGAAAACCAACATAAACTCATTTTTTGAATTTACGTTTTTTCCTCTAATTTACAAACTGAGACAACCATTTATAAACCAAAAAAATTATCAAACAAGTTTTTATGATAGTTTTTAATTTTTTTGTAAATATAAATTGAAAACTGAAAACGAAATGGTTACTAAACAGGTTTCAGATGGTAAAAATATCGTAAAATTAACAAAAAATTAAATAAGTTACCAATGTAAGAAATAACTTATCAAAAGATTCTTAGGCTATATATGGTTTGATTTTCAGATTTTTTTTTTAAAATTAAAAATTAATCTAGTTGAGAAATAAAAAATAAAAAATAATTATCATTTTTATATAATTTTTATCTTTTGAGTGGTTAGAAATAATTTTTTACAAATGAAATTGAAACAACCATACGTATGTATATAACCTGCCCAAAAGTTAAAATGATAATTATTTTTTATTCTTAAATGATAATTATTTTTTATTTTTTTATTTCTTAACCAAATTAGTTTTTAATTTTTTAATTTTTTTTTAAAAAAATCAAACCATACATAGCCTAATAATCTTTTGATAAGTCATTTCTTACGTTGGTAACTTATTTAATTATTTGTTAGTTTTACGATATTTTTACCATCTGAGACCTATTTGGTAACCATTTCGTTTTTAGTTTTCAATTTATGTTTATAAAAATTAAAAAAACTGTCATAAAAACTTATTTGATAATTTTTTTAGTTTATAAATGGTTGTTTCAGTTTGTAAATTTGAGGAAAAAACGTAAATTCAAAAAATGAATTTACGTTGGTTTTTAAACAAAAATTTTAAAATTTTACTAACAAAGTTTTTTTCAATTAATTTTTTTTTTCAAATAATTTTTTTTCCAATTAATTTTTTTTTTCAATGAATTTTTTGTCCAACTAATACTAACCGAGGAGGCAATTGATAATGCTACATTAAACCTTAGGGAGGGGATTATAATTTCTAAAATGTGAGGGGTGTCAATGTAATTTACTCAATGAGGGCAAAATTGATATTTAAAAAAATTAAATTATTGAGTAGGAATTTGTAATAAAATTTTAAACCTTAAGGAAAGATATGTAATTTTTAAAAAGTGAAGAAAAAACTATAATAAATATAAATCTCAAGAGTGTCAGTGTAATTTTTTCTCAATATTTTAACCAAAAATATTAAGGAAAGGTCAACCGTGCAATTAACTCATATATGTATGATTGTGGGTCCCTTTTTCAGAGTGACTCATTGTAGGTACCATATTGAGCGTAGCTGTGCAATTAACTCATATATTTATGATCGTAGGTCCCTCTTTCAGAGTGGCTCATTGTAGGTACCGTCTTGAGCGTAACTGGACTGAAAACCTAACTCGGTTGCTGATTTAATGGCAAAATTCGCACAAAGTTTCTCACAAGAATCTCCTCGTATACCTCAGGTTTCGTTTGGCAAATAATTTTTTTAATTAAAAAATTAAAAAATTATTAAAAAAATTAAAAAATTAATAATTTATATAAAAAAGTCAAAAATTTCATTTTTTTTTATTTTTTACATATTTTTTTATAAAAAGTCAAAAAGTCATCCCAAACATACTAATTTTTTTTACATCACATTTTAACTAAAAAATCAAAAAGTTACTAAAAAAGCCTGTTCCCAAACGAGTCATAAGCGCTCGTTTGCAATGACTTTTTTAGTTGACTTTTTAATTTTTTTAACTTTTTTAACCTGAGACGTTTTTAGTCGTTTGGTATTTTTGTTTGACTTTTTTAACTTTGAAATGGTGTATATTTTTTTGTCTTTCTATTTATTTTGTCCTTTTGTGATTTTTTAATTTTTTTTTATCATTTTGTGATTCTTTAGTCCAAGACGTTTACCAAACTACCCCTAATTTTTTTTTTCCCCCTTTCATACTTATGACGTGGGACTTATAGGAGAGCTACCGACGGTCCTCTTGAATAAAAAAAAATATATATGCATTTATTTATTTATTTTTTAGGTTTCGTCCGGGAAATAAAAGTTGGGTTTTTTTTTTTTTTTTTTTGAAATTTGGAGCTATTTTAACTATAAAAATAAAATAAAATTTTTAACTTAATAAAACAAAATATCACATCTAACTTATAATCATTATATTCTCTCTCATAAAAAAATCAAAAAAATCTAAAATCTTTATGAAACTAGACTTTTTAACCTCATACTAAAATAACTAAAAACATTAAAAATCAATCTACTTTCCTGACCAAACCTTAATATTTTTTGTGTGGAGTATTCTGTCAGTGCCCATACACACTTTCCTTTCCTAGTTTCTATTTAAAGCAACATATAATTTCTCGAATGCATAATTTCTCTTGAAATCAAGCCAAGATGTTTGACTTAATCTCCATTGCCACCTTATTCTTTGTTATTATCTCCACCACCATCCTCCTCCTCTCCATAAACCACTTCAAAAAACCACCACATCTCCGCCGCCGTCTCAGCCTCCCACCAACCCCCTTCGCCCTGCCAATCATCGGCCACCTCCACCTCCTCGGCCCCATCATCCACCGCTCCTTCCATGACCTCTCCTCCCGCTACGGCCCCTTGTTTCACCTCCGCCTCGGCTCAGTCCCATGCTTCGTGGTCTCCACTCCAGAGCTCGCAAAAGAGTTCCTCTTGACACATGAGCTCAAGTTCTCATCTCGCAGGGATTCCATCGCCATCCAACGCCTCACCTATGACTCTGCATTCGCCTTCGCCCCTTACGGTCCCTACTGGAAATTCCTAAAGAAGCTTTGTACTTGTGATCTTCTCGGCGCTCGTAGTATCAATCATTTTCTTCCCACACGGACCCGTGAACTACACTGCTTTGTTCGACTTCTCATCGACAAGGCCGTGGCTTGTGAACCTGTCAACATCACTAAAGAGCTTTCAACGCTCGCCAACAATATCATCTCTCAAATGATGATTGGTATGGATTTGTTATAATTATTGCTTCAAGTTAGAATCTTTAATTTACTAGGATTGCCTTATTTATTTTTTTAATCAGCAAAGTTTTTTATATTTTTATTAAACCAAGACATCTAAGGAGTATAAAACAAGATTGTTTTTTCAAGTATATTATAAATAATAATTATAAGCTTTATGCTGTGTTTGGTTTAGAATTTGAGAAGAGATCTGAAAAAAAATATATATATAAAATTAAATGAAAAATAAATATATTTTATTAACATTTTATCTATTTTTTTCCTTTTTTTTCAAATATCATCCTAAATTCTCAAACCAAATAAGGCATCAGAGTTATTCAGTTTATCATAAGTAATACATAATTCTTTCAAAAGAAATCTCTGTACTTTTGTTTTTGTAAAGTACTATGACTACAGATTATGCTTTTCACGTACTTCTGTTTTTTGAAAGTACAATGATTCTACAGATTCTGTTTTTCACGTTTTTCCGCTGCATCAGGTGTAAGGTGTTCGGGGACGACAGGAGAGGCTGAGGAGGCTACAACTCTTGCCCGCGAGGTGACGAAGATATTCGGAGAGTTTAATGTGTCGGATTTTATGTGGGTTATCAGGAACTTTGATTTGCAGGGGTTTAGGAAGAGAGTTGAGGATATATACACAAGGTATGATGCGTTGCTGGAAAGGATTATCACAAACAGGGAAGAAGTCAGAGAAAAGAACGTACAAGAAAGAAAATTGGGTGTTGGAGAAGGTCATCACGTCAAGGATTTTCTTGATCTATTGCTTGATGTTTTGGAAGAGGACCATTCGGAGATTAACTTCAGTAGAGATAACATTAAGGGCTTGATTTTGGTAAGTCCTTTCACATTATACCACATGCAAAATTTAGCTGTTTATTTATTTTTTTGCTATAAGTTATCATATCAATTCTCAATTTTCTTTTATATATTTTTGTAAAAAATAATGAGTCATACTTTGTATCTGTTTTTATCAATAAAGCTTTCTCTTTACTGATAAAATAATAATAATAATAATAATAATAAGTCAAAAAATAAGCAAGTCTAAAAACCACCTAGTGATGTGTAAAATAGATGATTGATTGATAATTAAAAAATATATAAAAAAAGAGTTGTCTTAAATTTTATAATACACTATCACATCATTGAGTTTAAAAAATGCGTCTAACTTTTGAGTTAAAGTAACTTTATTCATATGACATTATGTATGCTTGTGATTGATTTAGATTTAGTGTATCACATAGGAAATGTTACATAATATTTCAGAACTATTAATTATTTGTAGTGATAAATTATATTAGTAATCTCTATATTTTGATTTTTATGTTATATTGATTCTTATAATTTTAATTAACTTGATTTTAACATTAAATTTATAATTTTGTTTCAATTTTGTCTAGGAATGGCAACGGGGCGGGGCGGGGCCGGGGACCACACTCCCCGTCCCCGATCCCCGATAGTGAGAAATGGTAAAAAAATTTTCGTTTCCGCCCCCGATCCCTGATGGGGACGCCATCAACCCCACCGCCCCTGCCCTCCCAATGGGGATCAATTTTCCCCGATCCCGAAAATCCCCGACTTGTTTGTTTTTTTTTGAACACAAAAATTTCAGTCTGTTGTATTGAATATATTTCATCATCATCAACAACTTAAAAAAAAATTAAAAATGCTGAACCTGTTCATATTACACACACATTACACACGCACACATAGATTGTTCATTGCACACATATATATACACACACATTACACACATATATATCTATCATCATCATCAACATCAACTTAAAAAAAAAAAAAAATTTCAAATTGTTCATTGCACACACAGATATATCATCAACAACTTAAAAAAATAAAAAAAAATCTTAACTTTGTTCATTACACACACGTTACACACACGCACATATACACACACATATATATATATATATGAATCTATCATCATCATCATCAACAACAACTTTAAAAAAAAAAAAAACCGCGGATATATCATCATCAACACTGTTGCGACGGAGCTACAGTGGAGGCCGGACAGAGGCGGTGTTGCGACGAGGAAGCCATGGCGACGAAGGTGGTGGTGGTGGAGGATCGGCGGATCTGTTTAGATCTGTTTAGATCTGATCGAGATGATGATGACGGAGGGCGGATCTGTTTAGATCTGTTCTAGATGATGAGAGACGTGGTTTGAGGGAGAGAAATTTGAGTGAGGGAGAGGGAGAGGGAGATGGATCTGATCTAGATGATGATGACGGAGGCGGTGGTAGTGGAAGATCGGTGGATCTGTTTAGATTTGTTCTAGATGATGATGATAAGAATCTGAGAGAGAGAGATTTGAGTGAGGTGAGGGAGGAACGGCTTTGGCTTTGGCTTTGGCTTGGGCTTTGGGTTTGTGTTTGTGTTTGTGTTGTGTGTGTGTTCTGCTCAGCCAAAGCCCTAAAACAAACACACACATGTTATATATAGCTAGGGGCAAAATAGTCATTTCACGTCGGGGGGCAAGCAGGGCGGGGATCGGGGCCGAGGCCGGGGTGGGTCCGGGGCTGAAACAGATATTCCCATCCCCGGCCCGAATGTCATCGGGGATTCAATTTTTAATACCATCCCCGCCCGTCGGGGGTATTTTTCGAGGAATAATCGCTCAATTCAGGGTCGGCGGATCGGGTCCCCGTTGGGTCGGTTTCCGATTGCCATCTCTAATTTTGTCTAATTGATTATAATTATTAGTATTTTTTTATGAAAAATATACATACGAGTGGCATGTGTTATGCTTTTATTGATAAAATTATAAAATTGTTCAACTCAATAAGTTATTAGACAAAAATTACAGAAATAAAAATGACATAAGAAACAAAATATAAGAACCACCAATATAATTTTAAAAATATTAGAAATTCTTACTAAATTATTAAATATTTATAGGATGGGACCTTTGTGGATTCCATAATAATTTGATATAAAATTTCATAATTGATTTGAAATACTACCATTATTGCTCATATGATTTTTACCCTTATGCTATTGATAATCAGATATGCCAGATTCTTTTTTTTTTTTTTTTTTTAAAAAAAAAATGCCAAATCCATGCTCAATTCTAGGGCTGAGTAAGGAATTCGTAAGATCTGTAATTTGATCCGGTTCAGTCCAATTCGGTAGATTTGGATTTATTTTTTGAATCTGTGGTTCTGCTCCGGATTGAAAAATTAAAAATCCGTAGTCCAAGGATCGGTTCTGGATTGAATCCTACAATTCCGAATTGGAACCGATCCAGATTGTATACAAATAACTTATATTTATATTATACATCCTCCCGCATAGTATCTTTTTTTTTTTTAATATAAAACTTAAACATAAATCCAAACCTAAACTTGCATAGTATCTTTTTTTATTATTTTTATTTGTTAGTTTTTAGTTTTAATTTGTAATAATAGTCTAAATACTTATGGTGAAACTAGTTTTCTTATGATTGTTTAAATTCTATAACAGTATGTCGCTATTATGCAAAAACATGTTGTTATTGTGGAACTAATATGATACTATGTTTATATTTTTATGAAATCAAAATGTTCTATATTTTTTTTGTTATTTGATTATATGAATAATCCTACAATTCTGAATTGGAACCGATCCAGATTGTATACAAATAACTTATATTTATATTATACATCCTCCTGCATAGTATCTTTTTTTTTTTTAATATAAAACTTAAACATAAATCCAAACCTAAACCTGCATAGTATCTTTTTTTATTATTTTTATTTGTTAGTTTTTAGTTTTAATTTGTAATAATAGTCTAAATACTTATGGTGAAACTAGTTTTCTTATGATTGTTTAAATTCTATAACAGTATGTCGCTATTATGCAAAAACATGTTGTTATTGTGGAACTAATATGATACTATGTTTATATTTTTATGAAATCAAAATGTTCTATATTTTTTTTGTATTTGATTATATGAATGTGTAGTTTTAAACCGATCAAATCCGTATTTAAATGGATTGGTTTCACGATTTAAACGGATTGAATTGGTTTTAATTATTTAAGAACCGTAAATAATGGATTGGTCCTGATTTACCGCAATTCGGACTAATTCGGACTATGTTCACCCCTACTCTATGAAGCACGGACACCGCTCTAAGGCTTGCGTATCAGTGTCGAATGCGGACACGTGTCCGACACTCTCCCTAAGGTGTCTGCCTTTTTTTTTTTTTTTTTTTTTTTTGAATTTTTTTGCAACCGGACACGTTTTGGACACGCTCGGACATGTTTCGGACACTGCAGGGTACAAAACCTAATTTATGAAACTTCTAAATGGGACCAAACTATAAAAAACAAAAATAGAAAAAGAAGAGAGAAGAGAATCGAAGAAGGAGAAGAAAAGAACAGAGAAGAGATGGGAAAGACAGAGAAGCGAAAGAGGGTGAAGAAGAACCTGAACTGGTGAAGAACCAGTTGAAGAACAGATCGAGCTATGTGTCTTTCGCAGTTCGTAGTCTTTCGGCTTGTAGTTCATTTCTCTACCTGTGTGTCTTTCGCAGTTCGTAGTATTTTGGCTCGCAGTTCATCTCTCTACCTGTGTGTCTTTCGTGTCTCTCTCTCTCTCTCTATTTCGCAGCTCGTCACTCTATGTATCTCTCTGTTTTCCTATCTCTTTCCTTCTGTGTTTTCTAGGTCTCTGATCTGTGTTCATATATATATGATTTGTATTTATATATATATATATATATATATATTATTCTCTCTTTTGAGAGATTAAAAATGCTTTTTATTTTTTATTTCTTTTTCTTCTCTCTCTTATGAGAGATTAAAAAAATCTTTATTTATTTATTTATATCTTAGCCCCTCTTTTTTTCCTTTTTTTGGGGGGGTATTCTTGTTTGCTTAACCTTGGACATATATATAGAACTAATTACTTTTATTTGTTAGAAAAAATCAATTTATTGAATGTGTTTATTAATTTTATTATTTTATTGAATGTGTTCATTAATTATATAGTTATTGTAATTTCATAGGAAATTTTTTATTCTTAAATATGGCATTTGATGTTAAAGTAATGAAATATATGTTTTTTTAAAATTTTTAAGTGATATATAAATAAATAAAATTATTTATATTGAATGTGTTTTCAGCATGTTGTATCCCTTAATTTTTTAAAATTTACATATCTACATATCTATATCGGGTCCCATGTCCGTGTCCGTATCCGTATCCATGTCTGTGGCTCATAACCCCTACTCAATTTATCGAGGGGATCCCACCCTATGCTCCCTCCCCTCATGTGATTATCTGGGCCAGGGCACAAATACTAATCCTGATTTGTTTTTTTTAAAAAAATTTCAGAAAATCAAAATTTTAAAATAATTTATTTTTATTTGGTTTCTCTTTTTTAAGATAAAAATAACTTTTTAAAAATTAAAAATATTTTTTTTGTATTTAATTTTGTCTAATTAATTTTTAATTTTTCAAAAAATATATAAAATAAGTTTTAAAAACTTAACCAAACAAAAATAATACTAGCATCAGTAATTGACCATCTCTAACGGTGAACCAAACTCTGCATCAGATTTGAAATTTGGTGAAAAAATCACTTTTTGAAGCTCCAATGGTTTCACCAAATTGGTATTAAAATAAGAATGGAACAAAAAATTCATCAAAGTGAGAACATGCTCCATATTTCACCATTTCATTGTGCGTTACCGTTGAGGTGGGCCAACCGGTCAACCAATCGGTTGTCTGGCCGGTCGATCAGCCGGTCGACTGATTCCCTTGCAAATAGGTAGGTTCAAACTGGTAAAAAGGTTCAAACAGGTTAAAAATAAAAAAATAAAAAAAATTTGCCTTACCGGTCGACCACTTCCCTTTTGATGCACGGTTGGAGCAAGCCGTATCAGATTGAGAAAATTGACTTTTTTTTATTCAAATTTGATGAAAAATTTGATTCACCGTTGGAGATACTTTTAGCCATCAACTCGAACGAAAATTCTTACTGACTAACTACAAATCTTTGTTCAATTTTTTGCAGACGAGTTACAAATGTTTAATTTAAAATTATTCAATGTTTGTAACATGTCTGTCAAAAAAAAATAAAGTTTATAATTGGCCTGTAAAAATTAAAATAGTGGTTGCAGTTGGGTTGTAAAAAATTTTACTTGAATTGATGGACAACGAGTCAATTATCTCTGTTTAGTTGAATTTTTAAAACTTGTTTTATGATTTTTTAAAAACTAAAAGTTAATTAGATAAAAATAAAAAATGATATTTCAAAATTAAAAAAAATTATTTTTCAAAAACCCTAATAAAAATTATTTATTATTTATTTTTAACGACAAAAAAAATTATTAATTAAAAAAATTATTCATAAAAATTATTTATTTATTTATTATTATTATTATTATTATTTTTGTAACTGTAAGAGCTGCAAAATGCTCCAGAGAATCACGTGAGGGGAAAGGTGGGGCCCTTTTTCGAACTTGGCGACCGAAATGTTTTTCAGTCGAAAAAAGCTTCATATCTCCACTGGGGTCGACCCCAGTGAGGTGTCGGCCCCGGATTGGTCCAAAAAAAAAAAAATTATTATTATTATTATTATTTTTTTTTTAAGTTTTCAGCCAGTGGGGGCGCGCCACGTCACTGGAGGCGCGACCCCCACTGAGTGTATGGATCACGGCTGTTTTTCATATATATGTTGCTGTCATCGTTCAGTGCTTTTGTTGGTAGCTATAGAATTATTAATTGGAAAAATTACATTTCAATCTAAATTTTAAAAAATAATTATAAATTGGTGAAAAAATTTATAATTTTAATTATTAATATTTATAAAACTATTATTGATTGGTAATTATATTTTAAAAACATCACTAATGTGATATATTTTTTTTATTAATTTATAATTTTATTGAAATTAACGCATAAATATTGTTCCATAATATTTTAAAACCAAACTATCTAATAATTCCGAAAGTGACAATGGCTAGTGTGTTGATTGTTTAGGTTTCTTAATACAGTTGCAATTCAATTTAAAGCTAAAAAAGTTATCATTTTGGTATAACTAATTGTGGATATTCATAATTGATTTTTTGTTTAAAAATAATTATTAAAAGAATAAAAATAAAAAATATATTTTACAATACAAATTGTACCTAATTAATTTTTTTTTATTTTTTTTTATTATAGGATTTCTTCACCGCAGGAACAGATACATCATCTATTGCAATTGAATGGGCATTAGCAGAGCTGATCAACAATCCAAGAGTGCTCCAAAAAGCACAAGAGGAGATTGATAATGTGGTTGGGAAACATCGGTTAGTAAGCGAATCAGACGGTCCAAATCTTCCATACATCCAAGCCATCATAAGGGAAGCACTTCGGCTTCACCCTCCAGTCCCCTTGATCACAAGAAAATCAATAGAGGACTGCATGATCCAAGGATACAACATCCCAGCCAACTCCATGCTATTTGTGAATGTTTGGTCTCTTGCTAGAAATCCCAAGTATTGGGATAGCCCACTGGACTTCTTGCCTGAGCGATTCTTAAGGCCCGAAAAGGGTGGCCCAGTGGGCCCAACAGATGTTAAGGGCCAACATTTCCAGCTATTACCCTTTGGTACTGGGAGGAGAGGCTGCCCTGGTACTTCTTTGGCCATGCAAGAGCTGCCTGCTATGCTAGCGGCAATGATTCAGTGTTTCGAGTGGAAGGTTGTGAATCAGAGTGGGGATGTGATGAACGGTGATGGAGCGCTTGATATGACTGAACAACCCGGGATGACAGCTCCGAGGGCCCATGATCTTGTGTGCATGCCGATACCACGAATCGATCAACTTTATGCCCTTCTTGATCCATAGTTTATGCTAAGGCAAGGATTCTCAGTAGTTAAAATTTTTGTTCCCAATAAATTTCTAATCGCATGATTTTGTCGTCAATAAAAGTTGTGAAATACAATCATACGATTAAGAAGGCAATATGAATAAGGGTTAAAGATTTTGGAATAGAGGATCTGTACCTTTGTGCTATGATTTGCCCAATATTGCTCTCTTTAACCTATTTTTAGGAAGTTTAAAAAAAAAAAAAAAAAAAAAACACACAAGTATAGTAGCTAGTTTATTGGCTTATTGATTTATGGAGTATTTATACACAAGTTTTAATTTATGAATTTATACTCCATTACGTTTTAACTAAGATTTTTTAGACCTTTAAGTCTCATTAAATTTTTAATAGTCGGAATTACCTTTCGAATAATGATTGTTCATTATTTATGATTATTTACAAAGGAATATGATGATTTGATATTTGTTTTGATTTTCAAAACTTGAAAACATCAATTTTCAAATTGAAAAAACTAAAAAAAAAATAAAATTATGTGAATTTTTTTTTTGAAAAAATTGAAATAATTTTTTGTGCAAAATTAAAAATTTTGTATCTATAAAGGAACATGATGATGGAACATTGATGTACAAAACTAGAAATAAAAAAAACTTTAAAAATGAAAAAACTGATAATGTTTTCAATTTTAAAATTGAACTGATAATGTTATCAGTTTTAAAATTGCAAAAAATTAATATGTTCTCGGTTTTATTGGATAGGTGAACTAATAAATAGAAGGACAAAAACGTTTAATCTCATACTCTTTTTTTTATCAGTTAGTGAAACAATTATCTTTTATTTATTTATCAGTTAGTGAATTAATTATCTGGAATATTACTATGCAAAATTGATAATGTTTTTAATTTTAAAAATTGAAAAAAACTGATAATATTCTTAGTTTTACTACATATGACTTATTGGTTCAAAAAGTCTTAGATTGACTAGAGCTACCAATGGGAAGAGACCCCCAATACCCCCACTGGGGGTTTCATGCATTTTCATTGTTTAATATTGTATAAAGTTATATCTGTATGTGTTTAATAATAAAAAAAATTATAAAAAAAATACTTATATTGAAGAGAATATTTAACGAACAAATTACATATTCAATGAGTATGCTCCACCAGAGGATATGTATTGAGAAGTACATATTTTTTTTCTTAAACAGAGGTACCATACATATCTAAGAGCATACTCAAATTGATTACATTGGGATATGTATGCATCTCTTAATGCAACTGTCATGATCTGAACTCGTCCCTATGAATTAGGGTCATAATTGGTCAGTAATCAAGGGATTACCTGCGGTCTCAAACCAAATAAAACATATTATATCAGAGTTAACAGACCAAAACGGAAGTAAACTTATGAATTATCCATAGAGCTGTGCTTACATGGTTTAACCAAACATTCTTATATACTCATAATAACTCACATCATAAGCATATTCACAAAAAGTATGTCATACATACATTCAGGATTATTCAACCAGTGTTAACAAAAATTCAGATTACACGGTCGGCCAAGGTTGTACTACATGACTACAAAAAGGCTCCAAGAGTAATAAAACAAAAACAAAGCCTCTACATGAGGCGACCTTGGATGACCTCACAAAACTTGATTTGTCAACACTCACTGGGATTGTGGTTGGACATCCCGTTGCTCACCTACATACATATAAATACAGAGGGAGCTAATGCCCAGTGAATAATACCAGAGTAAAGAGGTTAATGAATGAGATTCGTTCATGACTAAATCATACGTATAATTTAAACATTTGAACTACTAGTTCCAATTGTATCAAATGCATAGACAGTAACGTATGGAACGACCTTGGGTCCAACATATTATATCTATGAACAAAACGACCTCAGGTACATGTCATATCTAAGTACGAAACGACCTCAGGTCCATTGCACTCAAAACGACCTTGGGTCCACCTGTACAAAACGACCTCAGGTCTAATATTCATTCATAGACCAACTTTAGGTCTAATGGATCCATGTGCCAAGGGATCCATGTGCTAAGGACCACCGGTCCTCCTTATCACATTACAAAACGACCTCGGGTCCAATATTCTCATATTCATAGTGATGCACCTTTAATCATGGTCGCATCCGTATTCACACTCAAAATGACCTTTGGTTCAATCAGTTCTTTATTCAAAACGACCTTTGGTCCAATTATCAATTATGCAAAACGGCCTACGGCCCAATCTACATCTTTGTCAAATATACTGAATGGCCTTCGGCCCATTTTCCATTTTCGCAACATTCATTTTACAGGTACGAACAGATAGAATACTCATTCATAGTACAATTTCACAAATTTAGAAATTACCACTTTGGCAACATTTAGGAAGTAATGCGTATACAAAAATATCTTTAGTAAGATATTACTCACAGTGATCTGGTCCTTGATTCGCCCTTGCACTCGACCCTACATAATTCATAACACAATGGGTCATAAGTTATTCAATTCGCTCTTAACTTATTATTTCTCTTAGGCTTCTTTCTTATCCCTTTAGGTCATATATAAAGCCCAATGCATGCCTAAGAGTGCTTAGAAATGAAAGAGAACGGAAAATGAAACACAAACCATCTTTTCAAAATTTCTGAAACAGGGCTCCTTGTTCGAGCGCGGTGTCTGTCGCTCGAGTGGACCCGTTAGGTCTGCAAAAGTACTGGCTGCCTCATTTTTAAGCTCGAGCATGACTTCGGACGCTCGAGCTGAAAGCCACACCACACGGCTTGGCGTTCGAGCGTGAATCTCTCCACTCGAGCGGACATCCATGTCTGCAAAAGTTCTGGGAGCTACCATTTCACGCTTGAGCAGCCATTATCCCGCTCGAGTAGACATGCCGAATTCTGGGTTTTCCAGCAAGCTGCTTGAGCTTCAAACTCAATGTCCAAGGGTTCAAAACTCAATTTTTTGGACACAAAAACATATAAACACATGACATACTACGAGAACATAACCAATATGAAGTCAATTGTTCAAAATCATGATCTAATTCCCAAATCAATCAACATTTCTCTTGTATAATCAAAATCCATGCATTCAAACTTCACATAAGCTTTAGATCTTCATTAATCAAGCATGCAAGTTAATTTTTGATTCCAATTCCATTTCAAATGGCTCAAGTGATGCTTAGACACATGAAACTCATCATAACCACGCTTGCATGTATGATCCAACACTCAATTTTTCATAATTAACAAGCTACATGCTAGATTATACAAATTCATGACAATTTATGGTAATTCTATGCATGCATGTGCATTCCAACTTTATATTCAACTCAACTCACACTTTTAATTACAATCTAACATCAAATTCTCAAAGTTACAATCTCAACTTATGAACCAATGCTCAAACACTCACCTTGGAGTCCCAAGCCCCCAATATCTAGCTAATTATTGGAGTTAAGTTTCCAAATTCACAACCTTTGAGCCAAGATACACAATTCTCTCTTTTTCTCTCTCTAGAACCGGTCCTCTCTTTCTCTAGAGTGTGACTTCACAAAAATAATGGGTTTAAGTGAAAGAAGGCCCTTATATATAAGCTTGCCTAATCAAATTGATTAGACCAAATAATGGAGCTTAAATTAATCGTTCTGAATCTAATTATTTTGATCCAAATCAATTTCTAATTAAATTTCACCATAGGCTTTAAAAATTATGCCAATCATGATGACGTAGTCAATTTCGGTTTCTGTAGCCGATAAGGCCTTCAATTTTTAGTTTCTAACAATAAGTTGAACAGATTTTCTTACGGTGAACAGATAGAAATTCAAAATCACATATAATCATATAAATGACACTTAAAATCATATTAAACACATAATCGCAATCATAATTAAGATTAATTAACATAATACGGAACATGGTTATCACAACAACCTCTTATTTTTATTTTTATTACTATTAATGCTTCTGTTTCTCAACTTGGAAATCTACTTGTATTGAAGAGAATATTTATGTCGTAAAATAGAAAGACAATTTCCGTACAATTTGTATGCAATAATATAGGTATAGCTCCCTTTCATACATTTATCTTACATATTTTTCCATATTTAAATTTTTTTTTTTGGTTCCATTTCTGTAGCCGATAAGGTCTTCAATTTTCAGTTTCTAACAATAAGTTGAACAGATTTTCCTACGGTGAACAGATAGAAATTCAAAATCACATATAATCATATAAATGACATTCAAAATCATATTAAACACATAATCGCAATCATAATTAAGATTAATTAATATAATACGGAACATGGTTATCACAACAACCTCTTATTTTTATTTTTATTACTATTAATGCTTCTGTTTCTCAACTTGGAAATCTACTTGTATTGAAGAGAATATTTATGTCGTAAAATAGAAAGACAATTTCCGTACAATTTGTATGCAATAATATAGGTATAGCTCCCTTTCATACATTTATCTTACATATTTTTCCATATTTAAATTTTTTTTTTTGGTTCCATTCTAGGCCACATTCATAATCTAAACCGTTCATCCTATAAGTCTCACAAGACCATCTGTGCAAAAATATCAGTTTCATTGGATATTGATAAATACATAAACAAATCACATCTTGTTTTTATAAAAATAGAAAGTTTAAGTTTATACTAAAAATTACTATCTATTTTAAAAAATAAGATGCAATTTATTCATATATCTATTGATATAGAATGAAACTAATTTTTTGCCTAACTCATCTAAATTGTTGAGATTATGAGATGAACGATTTAAATTATCAACGTGGACTTAGAAATGAGCCAAAAAATTAAAGTATAGAAGCATATGAAAGATAAGAGCATGAAGGGAAGATATCTTCATATAATATATGGAATTTCTCATATTATCACGAACTTATTTTTGTACTCATTGACTACTTTAAGGTGGCTTGGCTCATATCTGGGTAAATTTGAATTTTATTGGGAAATTGCGTATAAATTGGACAGATTAAAAAAAACTAAATTAGGTATGAAAATATTTTGTGGGTAAGTTAGACACACAAGAAAGGTTTATATATATATATATATATATATATAGATTTACACTCCAATTGATTTGAGATTTCTTCTATTTTATTTTGTAAATCAATACAGATGTAGATTTTAACAATAAAAAATACTAAGTACACTGAGTACGAATATGAAAGGTGAACAGAAAATATATCATG